CCCTGTTTGTCTATCGTGAGGAACCGGTTATGTCTCTCACGGACTATATGTCATATATTGGAGGACTGTTTTGTCTGTGGTTTGGCACTAATGGCAAAGACTTCATCATTTGGTTGACAGAAAAAATGCATTTTATTTGGATTTGGTTTACAATGAAATACAATCAATACTTCGTTAACACTAGAGTATACCCTTTTCACATACCTATCAATTAAGTTTTTTAGTTTAATATTTTGATATCAATACCCCCTGTAATAGATTCATATATGAAAACATTTTAAAAATTATTTTATTTGTAATAACATATTGAATGCTATTTACCATAATTTGTTTAATTAAGGTATAGTTTGCACACAAACTTTTAGCACCATTTGTAGAAATAACTAAAATATTTAATAAAACTACAGTATCTATGATAATAATTATAAAATGTTTGACAAAAGGGTGTTTACTCGTTTATTTAGCTTTAAAAATCGTAGAATCGCCCTCACTCATCATAATTGTCTCTATGGTTGGGGTTATAATGATAGGGGACAGTTAGGTATGGCACACAAGAGTACGAATTATTTATACGTAAAACCGCAACTTTTTGATCCCAAATATTAGATAATAAGACTATTTGTCTAATATGTGTGGCTTTTATCACACAATGATTCTCACGAGTGATTTCTGTGTCTATGGATGGGGTTATAATATATATGGACAGTTAGGTTGTGGACCAGACATGGATATACCAAAAAGGACACCATTTCGGGTGAATTTCAATTTAAATCACGAAATTAAAAGCATTTATTGTTGTTCTTATTATTCATTTGCCATCACATTTGAGGGACAGGTGTTTAGTTGGGGTCGAAATAGTTTCTATAATTTGGGACACAATTCATGGGATAATATATGGGAACCACAACTCATTGCAGACTTGACTTAGTTTCACGAAATGAGTTATATATAGACAGCGAATGTAGAGAAGCAGTGGTTTCGGTATTAAACGGGTTTTGTGTCAGACTTTGAATAATTCAAAGCAGAACTCATTCGCCGACTCTTTCATGCATTTTGTGCTCATTTTGTGCTATAATATCACAATTATTGCAAAATGTTTGGATTATTTGGAAAAAGTATTTTCTATAAAAGAGCTTAAAATACGACTTTCAACACGTCTCACGCGCTTACACTATATTGTATGCAAATCCCAGTTACTGGTAAACTTAGCGCAACAATGCATTCAAATCAAAATAAATAAAAAATACATAAAAAACCGTTAATAAAGTTTCACGCGCTCATAAAACCATTGTCGCCGACATTACAGACAACACACCAAATTTAATTAAATGTATTAATTATGAAAGTTTTAAGACAATAAATATTTTATACAATAAATATTGATACTAATAATTTCATTGCAATTATCAGATTAACATTGTAAAGCATTATTACAAAATATTGTCTAAAGATTTTAAACATATTGAAAAAGGCTAGATATATCATTGTACCACCTGTAGTTAATATCTTAAGCACTTTTTATATCATTTTTGTTATTATCAATAGAAAATATATAATTTCTAAGAAAAGTTGAATGTTTTTATACCACCAACCGAGTGATAAAACAAATGTATAGATTAAACAACATGTATATAAGCATTATATTGTCTATAAAAACAACCATTAAATAATTGTATTCTTACAAAATACAAAGATGCTTGTTCAAATATTAATTTGTTGTACCATAATGGTGCACCTAGCTCATGGTGCTAATGTTAATCATATGGTTGATTACATTAACAATTTGGAAACAACATGGAAAGTATGTATTTATTTTGTATTTGTTAGATATTTATTAATATTAATTAATTGATTAGGCTGGCAACAACTTTGTGAGTGATTTCAAACCTAAATTAGGATTAATACCCGGATACAAACCACTTGCACCAAGTTCAGAGATAACTTATGATATATCCGATGAGGACATACCGGAGTCATTTGATCCCCGGAAACAATGGCCAGACTGTTACACCGATAAGGAGGTCAGAGATCAGGGATGTTGTGGTAAGTCATAAATTATAATCAATTATAAATATGTTAGATTCAAATCAAAATATATTTCTCAAATACTAAAAAAATAATATTTCAAATGAAATAAGTAAGATAATATTTTCCCATTATTTATATTTTGTAATACAGTACAAAATAAATATGCAAATATTATTTTTTATAAATATGAAAACAGTTTTTATACTTATTTACTTATTATATTAGTTATATTATATTACTTATTATATTATATTATATTAAATTAATATTATATTATTATATTAATTTATTACAATTTAAGTAAAAACAGTAAATTATGCAATTATATAAAACTAAATTAGTGTTAATACGACTATACTGTATAAAACTTAAAATCACCTAAAAATAAGGATGTATGAACTTGATAAACTTATAAATGTCTCACAGCACTAGTTATACATATCGTAATAGATTTGATAGTTATGCACTGGGCTACAAAACTGTGTTAAGTCTAATAAATAGATAACTGAAAGTTGTATACAGGGTGTGAAACACATTTCTCCAAAATTCAATTTTATTGACTAAAGTTATTGTCATTCATACAAAACAATATAATTTTGGGTCCTGTGATTGATTTGTTGTATCATTTAATAATTTATAATTTTGATTGTTTGAGAACTTTAAAAACTCACTATTATTTAAAAAACTCATTATTTAAAATAATAATCACTTTTAATAAATAACTGATAAAATGTTTTCCAATCACAAAACCGTTAATACACTCAACACTTATCACTATTTCAACTGTTTTTGCCTAAATGTCAGTACAAGTAAACATCATTTAACTGATCATCAATTAATGCACACAAATTCAAAACAATTTAAATGTGATTTTAATAATTGTAGTAAAGTTTTTAACTAAGATCACAGTTAAATGAACACAAAAATAACACTAATTTAAACGTGAGATATGTATGCGATTGCAGTGAATGTCACAAACAGTTTACAAGAAAAACATCATTACTTAAACACAAAAGTAGTGTTCATTTGAATGAAGACATTTATTTTTAAAAATACATAAAACTGCAATTAATTTGAAAATTGATAATTGATTTGAATTCATGTAAAATAAGTCATAAAATGCTTTCCAATCACAAGACCTAGCACACCTGTGGAAAAACTTTAAATCAAAACATGTTTAAGTTGTTTTGATAGATAGGGATTACACCCAGTATATCAATAAAGGGATTAAGTGTAGATAAGAGTGCATATTTTTTAACGCTGTTTTGTAGAAAAGGTTATTAATATGTATTAACAGTACGTTAGTCTTCATACAATTTTTATATTCAGTTTATTAATCATAAACAACTTTATTTGAGTGGTATTTTAAACAAAATATGAATTTTACAAATAATACAATTAATACGAGAAAATATTACAATATTAAACTAGAAAATTATTTAACCAATGATTTAAAATCAGGATCAGTTTTATTGCATTCAATTCTCAGACAATTTTGGCGTTTTTATGTTTAATTTGATTTGAGTTTAATTTAATCATTTTTACGGTATTTTAATAATGAAAACAATTTTGGCAATAGTATTGTTAACCAAACATTGAGTTCATTTTATATGCATTTTGTTTAAAGTTTGTGTATTTTTCTGGTAAATGAATGTAAAAATGAAATTTTGATAAATTATTAAAACAGTTATTAAATGAAAATTGGAAACCACTCTATTTTGTATACTGTATTTATTAATAACTATCAAATATGACCAGGTTCGTGTTGGGCATTTTCAACCTCAGAGGTCATATCTGATCGCATTTGCATCGCCTCGAGGGGTTAACAACAGGTAGAGGTCTCAGCCGAAGATATCCTAACCTGTGGTGAAGCGGGTGGTTGTGATGGGGGTTCCCCTCGCGCTGTGTTTAACTATTATATAAAGTCAGGTGTGATCAGTGGTGGACTGGTAGGCAGTCATAAAGGGTGTC